CTGGAAAAGAAATCGCTTGGAACCCATTGATGAGTGTAGCAGTATAACTAAGATATAAAAGAAGTCAACATCAAACCAACAACAGAACTGAAATTCTCAAAGACATTGTACTTACTTGCATTAGTTTCATCGTAACTAAGATAGGACCATTTTACTTGCCAAGAATGCTGTCAATCGCCAAAAAATAAATAGCATATTCGGTACAAATTCCTTTCTTTCTATTCTTTAATACAGTGCAGTGCAGTCCACTTTAGCAACCATGTCAAGACTGCTATAATTAGGCGTCGATTCCACTGATCAATGGATTAGGTCTGCATATGTCCCGTCTACAAAGTGGGCATACCCTGAAATATAACAATTAACTGAACATACCTTTTCCTTCATTCTCATGGAAAATTACGTGGACACCCTCTTGACATCAGTAATGTAAAAACTAAGCTTTATTTTGGAAAATGAGCTGAGAAAGGTACCTGTGAATTTCCTTGAGCCATTTATCAATACATGTTCTATGAAATTCATGGTGGCAAGGCAGTGTCCGCACAGTATCTCCTTCCTCGTACTCAACAAGGCATATGTAACATCTGTTAAAAAAAACAAAGGATGAGGTGAACAAATATGAATAAGATTATAAAACCGAGGTCATGATATCAAACTCTTAGATGCAAGACTATGATAAAACAACTTACTACTACAGTATCAAATACACCAGTAAGATTATTTTGCTGATCAAATATTGACAATAAAGACGAATAATATTAATGACTTTTTTTACCAATCCCTAAATCCTTGACCTTGGTTGTGGAAATAACAATCCTTAACCAACCAAGACAAGGTGTCTTGGCATAACATTAATGGTTTATATGCTCATAGGTAAGATGCCAAAAGAAAATAAATTTTCAAAGGTGAAATGAAAGTGAATCTTGTTATTGAGATGAAAAAGGTACAGCACCAATATCAAGCGTTATAGCAAAAACAGAAGGCAAATCTAAACATATATATTTTTTCACTTACTGTGCATCTTCTTCACTTAGATGCTTTTTCGATTTATTGAATAGCTTCAAAGGCAGGGATTCCACAACTTCAATTGGTGCAGGAACAGATCCAATGGAAGACACAGAAGGCCGAGACGATAAGACAACAGATTGCTGGTGAATTTCATCCAGAACCTATAAAATGAATACAAAAGATTAATCTTATGATAGCAATATAAAAATTAGGGACTGAATGG